AGGACTGAGGGAAACATCTATTCGCGCATGTCCAACCCTACGAACAGGGTCTTTGAGGAGCGTATGGCCCTCTTAGAAGGTGGCGTCCAAGCTCTTGCGACCTCCTCAGGACAGGCTGCACAGCTTCTTGCGATCCTGAATGTAGCGGAGACTGGGGACAACTTTGTTTCTTCGTGAGTAGCTATGAAATATTTCAATTGTGGTATCTGCTGAGGATACGTACTCAGGTCCTTCCTCTATGGTGGAACATACAATGAGTTCAAGGTTACATTCAAAAAGTTCGGTATTGGTGTCAACTGGGTTACAGAAGACGATCCTGCGGCGTTTGTTAAAGCTATTGATGAAAAAACTAAGGCGATATATGTGGAGACAATCGCGAATCCGGGGTATACCCTGAGCAATATAGCTGCTCTGTCCAAGGTGCGCCACCAAGTTCCTTCACAGTTGGCCCGACTTACATGGTGTGATACATGTCAAAGGTCGCACACGACGCTGGTATTCCCCTCATCGTCGACAACACGTGTGGCATGGGTGGGTACCTCATCCGTCCTATTGAGCACGGAGCCGATATCGTTTGTACGCCTCTTAATACTTAGCCCTCCACCACACACTAAACACTTCTCTAGTACACAGCGCAACCAAATGGATTGGGGGTCATGGAAACACTATCGGAGGCATCGTCGTCGACGGTGGCAACTTCGACTGGGCAGCCTCGGGCAAGTTCCCCGGATTCACCCAACCCGCAGAAGGCTATCACGGTCTCGTCTTTTCTGAAAGATACGGCAAGCTCGCGTATGGTATGAAGCTGCGTCACGAACTTATGCGGGATCTCGGGCCATGTATCAACCCGTTCGGATCGTTCTTGCTTCTCCAGGGTCTGGAGACCCTCTCGCTCCGGGCTCAACGACACTCCGACAACGCGATGGCGCTCGCGAGGTACCTCGAGAAGCATCCTCAGATTGCCTGGGTTCGGTATCTCGGGCTGCCTAACCACGAGAGTTATGAGCTCGCGAGGAAGACGTTGAGGCCTGGAGCATTCGGTGGTATGTTGTCGTTTGGATTCAAGGGAAATGCGCAGCAGACGCGGCGGTTGGTGGATAACTTGAGGTTGGCGAGTAACCTTGCGAATGTGGGGGATGCGAAGACGTTGGTTATTCATTCGGCGACAACGACACATTCGCAGCTTACGGAGGAGGAGCAGAGAGAGACTGGAGTTACGCCTGACCTTATCCGGGTATGGAATTTCATCAGTTTCTTTGGACTGAAGTTGAACATTGATGGGTGATTTAGGTGTCGGTTGGTATTGAGGCGATCAGCGATATTATTGCGGACTTTGAGAATGCGATTAAGGTTGTTGCTGACGCGCAGTAAGTGAGGTGTGGGTTTTTCACGTTTGGGTCATAGTGTCTGGTATCCATTAATGTGTGAATTGGAAACGGATATTTCGAATCCTGCACTACAATGGTACGCGACCCGGTGATATGATTTCAGAAGAGGCATGTGTGATGACGAACTATGTAGTCCGATTAGACACGTCTCGCTTACTCGTATAGAGTTGATCCCTCTTCATCCAAGATCTTTATTACATCTGCGTGTCCTCCCTCCATCGCAAGGTCAAGGGCCGTCTTCCCTTGCGAGTTCTGTATGCCTTATCTGCACCACCCTTCAAGGGAAGCCGCATCACAGGGACTTGACCGTGCTCCGCCGCCTCATGCAGTGCCGTTCCCAATCCATGCTCACGCTCCTAGTTCAACATCTCCGGGAAATTAGGGATCTCGTCGATTTGTGCCCCGTGGTTGAGCAACAGCTCAATCATCTCGATACGTCCGTAGTCCCCAGCAACCTTGAGTGCGTTCGTGTTCTTGATCTGTGCACCAGCTGCAATGAGCGTCTCGACAGTTTCGGTGAGTGCATTGATAACAGCCAGATCGAACACGGAGCGTGAGTTGCTTCGATGTAACGAGAACCCAGGAGACCACAGGAGGGGGATGGAGAGAGAGGATGAGAACGTCACCGATGTGGCCTAGGTTAGTGTTCAAATCCCGAGTCGACGAAGGCTTAAAAGATGGCGAAGATTCGGATATGGAGAAGGCGGAGACGATAGCACCGGTGTAGACTCACGCGCCGCGCGAGAGAATACGGGCAGCGATTGGTGCAGAGCCTGATTGTACGGCGAGCGCAAGGAGGGCATGGGATGGGGGTAAGGTGTTCGGGAACAGAGTGGCCCATTCGTTGAGTAGGTCGGTGGACTGTGTGAGATCCGTCGTTGATGTGGGCCTCTGAGAAGAGTGATCAAAGAACTCTTTTGGCTGCGAAAGAAGGGCATACCTGACCGTTCATTGTCAATGTAAGGGAAGAAAGGCTAACGCATTAATTGAGCATTTCGTCATGCTTCATGCCGAAAGCCACAGCAGGCTCTACGAGTGGGGATGGGAATGAAATGCCACCATATCAACTACAATCTGATACAATGTTGTGCACAAGATTAATAACCGACCTTAGCTCAGTTGGTAGAGCGCAAGACTGTAATGGCTACATATTATCTTGATGCCGCCTGTTCGATCCAGGCAGGTCGGACTGTTGCTTTGAAATAGAATGACGTTTTTGATACAAATTTTGCTATCTACGAAAGTTGGACCGCAGTGTTTGAGGAAAGAGATATTTGAATGAAGTGACAGTCCACATTTGAGGTGTGTCACCGACTAGAGGCGCAAAATTCTGAAGAAGTAATGTCAAGTTATCATTTCAACGAAATCGTTCGCTGTGAGGCTAGAGTAGGAGGAGAAGGAGCTTTTTGGTCAATATACACGGTGTCAGAGTCGCGATAAGTCGGTCGGATACTAATCATAATAAAGCTTCAACGCAAACGCATTTCAACACGCGCTGAGAAGGGTTGGTATGAGTGAAGGGTGTCCGAATCGTGAAGACGAGCTGAGTACATACTGATACTTATGAGGAAAGTTGATTATTGAACGATCACAAGTTTGTCAGTGTCGAGTCTGTCTACATAATTTGATCACTCTGATCACAAGAATTTCATGCTCCGATATCATCTCATCTGTATTCTGTAATGAGTGGTCCCAGCTTTTCTATTGTCTTTTTGTCGCTCTCTTGAGAGTAGGCGCAAAGCGGGCTTGTTTTCCGTTCATTTGTTTTTTTTCAACTGCCTTTATGTTCGTGTTATTGTCCGACGAGGACTTGGACCCACAAAAACACAACGCTACTCCTCTATACCGATTCATATCTATGGCGACAGTGGGTGCTATTCG